GGACATAGATTTTCAATCTTGTTTCATAACTTCTGCTTCTGTGACTTTTCTTGTCTTTTGCTGTTTCCCACATACACTTTGACTGAAAACGACATCGACACATGGCCGACTCCGCCCATTCTCTAAAGGGTTTGGCAATCTAGGCTCCGCCCCTTGGCCACGCCCACTTGCTTTTTGCGGAATTTTGATATTTTTTCAAAATTTTTGCATTTTTGGACTGCTACGTGAAGCCCCGCCCACTGTGAGAGGCTCCGCCCACTTTGAAGAAGCCCCGCCCACTTTCAAAAATGGTGCAAATCGGCAGTATAGAGTCTCGGCTGGCATGCTAGGGTATTGCTGATCATTCGGAACAAACTTTGCCTGATTTTCTTGTTCCGAGTGACGAAAGTTGGTCTGAGAGTGGTGAATTTGGTTTGAAAAGTGGTGAATTTGCTTTGAAAAGTGGTGAATTTGGTTTGAAAAATGGTGAATTCAAAGTGAAAATGGTATAATTGACGGTCATTTTTTGATAGTCGACGCATAATTGAATAAATCTTCGGTTCCTCTAACATGCATGCTAACGCTGTCATATGCTACTTGCTAGTAACTCATGCAGCTCACCAGAATCCAATAAGATAGTTCACTAGCATATCGCAGCAGTGAGTGTGTTCAATAGACTCGCGAACTCTGAACCTTCGCCATTCGATTCCGAAAACAAGTGAATTCGAATGCTACGTGCACTTCAGTTTGGAAATCCTTTCTAGTCATAATCCCAATCTCTCTTGGAACGCCGATCCTCGGTTGAAAGCTGATTATTATTTCACGACTGGCTAAATCAGACCTCACTGTCGGACAGTCTAACTCCTTCACATATGTGATTTTGTGTCAAAGCCGGGGCTAGTGACCGTGGCAGGGTCGATTTTGCTTTGTTATGTTCGTCCTGCGCAGTAGAACCCGCCCTTCGGCCAATCGTCGCCAAGTGACAACGAAGACCTGCAAGCGAAAGTGATTCTATCATGGGGACTCTCCTTGTTTCAACCAGGACAGTTTGCACGTTGGATAGGATGCGGAGCTTTTTTGGCTCGGGAGGAGAGAAGGGGATTTTGTAATAGGGCAGGGTTCCGCTTGTTTTTTTACTAGTTCCTATTATATCAAACGTCTGAAGTCTTGCAGACTTTGTCAAAAGTGAACGAAGCTCACGCTACAGCAACTAATTCATAGGCACAGATGTTCACAGGAAGCATCAGTAGTGATTGATGAGAACCACCGGAATTCTCCCACCAAGGCAATTCCCCCCCCCCCCACCCCTTACCAATGACGCTAGACTCGAAGGTCCACCTCCCAGCCAGAGCATCCGCAGCCTTGAGAACGATACCAGTAACCAAAAACTAAATCACATACTTACATAGCATCCATGCTCGACGCCCTTTGATGAGGCCTTCTTGATTTACTCCTGTAGCCTCAGCCAAGATGTGCTAACAATTCATTCGCCCTACGTTTTAATGCTGTCGCCTCTTCCAAGGCCTTGGAAGTCAAACATCAGTGTTTCACATTCAGAAATCATTTTAAACCTAAACTTACAATCAAGCAGGTTTTATAGACTAGAGCACCCAAAAAGCTACCAATCACAAACAAAGGGCTCATCGCAAAACGTGATCAGATTCTCTGTATTTCTTCCTTGTCGACGAGCATTTTCTGTGTTTCGTAGATGTTTCGGAGGGGGGGGGGCTATTCCGGTATGCGCATTCAGATTCCGCCTTCTGCAAACTTCTGTTGAAGTGTATGTGGGCAGGGAAAGAGTTAGGATCGAACCTAGGAAACTTAAGAGCTTTTGTTGCATATGCCAAAGTGTTCACTGGTGTGTGTGCTGAGCAAATAATGGGGTGAATTGCTGCTTGTTTGTTTTTTTCGGTTTCAAAATAATCCCAAATAAAAGCCCTTTACCATGACACCAGGCTACTACACAAATTACTCAATTCAAAGGAAAAAAGGCTTAACCTGACACATTTCATTTTCGGACGAGAAGAATCAAGTGATTACGTTGGTGTTGTGGACTCAGTACACATGGAATGACTACAAAATGCATTGGGATCCGAATGAATACGGTAACATAACTAACATACAACTGCCTCATGATTTTCTCTGGAAACCCGACATTTTGCTGTTCAACAGGTGAGCACTTCCATAGCTTCAGTGGAGAAACCTTGCTAAGCCTTGTGATAATCATTCAGTGCTGATGAGCATTTCGATGCATCATTCCCTGTGAACTTCGTTGTGTCGTCAAATGGCAATGTTCTTCTTGCGCCACCTGGTATCGTCAAAGTCTCCTGCGAATTGTCAATGACGTGGTTCCCTTTCGACGAGCAAATGTGTTTCATCAAGGTACGTTCTGTATGGGAAGCCCTAAGACAAATACCTTTGATGAGCTGCCATCAAACTACTGCGGGCTCATCTTCATTGTGGCATCGAGGAATTTTGTCACTGAGGGGTTCGAGGGAAACGTCGCCTACTTCGTGTAAAGACTGGACTAGCATTCCCTTGCTCACCATCATACACTCGCCTAAACGATAAAAAAAAGATGAAACTTTGAACGTTGATCGGTCCCTTATTAAGCCGGGCGTTCTATTTTATTTCGCATTTGATTTGACTGACCGTCAATTTTTTTCAAGTCCTGTTAGCTTACAGTCATTGTCGCTTACTCTTTCCGTGTAGGTCCATTTTTTGTTCAAAATTTTCTCTGCCAATTCTAACGGTATGGGTATTAGTGCACAGTTAAAGGCGAAGCTCGCGTCCATATATTGCGGGTAGCGGAGTTCGAATTCGAACGGCAAAGTCCTAGGCAACTGACTTTTATAGAAAAGATGCAGAAAAAACAGTCCGAAGTGCCCTAAACGGGACTCCATGCCTATGCCAACTTGTACGTGCATGCAATGAAGAGAAGGGTACTTGTACGAGTTTCCACTCGTTGTTATCATCGCGATACAGTTGTTTTAACTTATCACCATTCGGAATGGAAAGAGATAGCATAGTGGCCACTAGCTAGTAGCTAGCAGCCAGTGGGGTCGGCATGGGCCTAATTAGTGAGCTTCCAGCGGAGTTCTTGTAACTTTGCCTCTTTAATCGCCTTCCGGATCATCTGACACATTTGAGAGGTTATAGCTCTATTCTGTCGCGGGAAGTACCTTTAAGTCGCTGATATCAAAAAGGATAGCATTAGCGATTGGCATGCAAGCAGAGGAGCCGTGATCCCAGAAGTACGCTCCTCAGGTAGCCCGTATGCGCTAATATCGGTGTGAGAGAGTCAAACTGACGCAGGAGTTGTTGAGTCCGTTCACCTAGAAAATAGAATTACAGCATGACAGGCGGCACCACCTGCCACTACGCCATCTCTGCGCACTTCACTTCCTCTATGAAATCGCGTGAGCTTTTCTATAGATAAGTTATTGTAAAAGTCCGAGCTTCGCGTAAGTGCAAGGTAGTTTCATCTTTTGTTTGGAGGATCCAGTGTGAAGATGAGAGCAAAGTAAATAAGAACGAGAACAGACGCGATAAAATGAAATCCCTCTTTGAGCAAATCACGTACCTCTGCTCACTTGGCCTTATCAATGGGAAGTCACGTAAATCAGGTATCCATAGTATCCATCTGCGATACTAGTTGGGAAACGTGTTACTCCTTTCAAAGGGCAGAGGCATACTGATAGACCTGTTGCTCCCCTAAAGAAAGCGAAATAGCTTGAAA